AATTTTACGGAGACTTGCCACGGTCTCCAACCCTCCTCCTTTCTCATCCGGGCTTGGGACCGGCCATGTCTACAAATCATTTTTGTTAAACAATTTTGCTTTTTGTTTCGTCTTAAACGTCATAATTTTCAAAGTATTTGCATTGTTATAAATCTTATTAAAATAAATTCTGACATTTCAGATCAAACTGAATCCTTTTTCAGCGGACATAATACAAATTTGTTAGACAACGTTGCCAATGGCGTTATATACTGTGCGATGATTTTAAGATCGTGCATGTACGCTCAACGAATTGTTAATACGTTGTGCAGTTCGAGCTGCCAAGCTGGCTGGCTTAGGTGTAATTCAGTCTCGATATTCCAACCAACGTCTTGTGTTCGATCAGATTGATGACAAGTCATATTCGTTGTCTCTGTTAGGCTTTTTGCATGCTTGTATCCACGGCGCTACTTTATCTTCAACCTCTGATTGTCTCTTTCGCGTCATGCCCTTTTCATGTTTTTCCAGTCAGTGGTATGACCCTCTTTCACCGTGTACTCCATCAGTGTGGGAGTTTGCTTTGCTCACTCCTTCTCATTGATCGGCATTGTTCCATCTTGTAAGGTATGAGCGACGGCTTCCTTCCCACCTTCGAACCGGCTTCTCGAGGATGTAGTTCTGCAATCGCAAAAGATAATGTAAATGCCGTTCTTCCTCCTGTTTTTCGATGGTTTCGACATGAAAGCTGGCTACGGCTTGTGACGTCAGATTTGAATAGCAACCGTGCACTAAGTTTATAGAGGGTTTTCATCGTAACTTCTCAAGGAGGCTAAATGAATGACGACTGTTGGGGTGCCATTTTTTGATCGTTTCATTGATGAGCTTGGCTGGATAAATCCCATAACTGTTAAAAATATAGAACTTTTTTCGGGTACACCGTATTTCTAATGCGTAATGTCCAAGCACCTGTAGATCCAGATGCCTCTTTTAAAGCTGAGACTGTGAGTTGTAGGGCAGAAAAGTTTCGTATGGGTAGGCTTGTCAGACTTCTGTGATGTAAATCCCCCTTCTTCAGGATACCAGTACGTCCAGAAATGTTACGCTCACTTTCTTCGACTTCCTTCGTAAACAGTGTCGGTTGAAAGTGAGAGCTCATGATTTACGAGCACATTTTCCATTCCGTTCGGGCAAACGAAGTATGTTTTGTTCACATAACTTTTGAAGAAGATAGGTTTCGTTACTCCAGTTGCTGCTGTAAACGCCCGAGTCTCGAAAACTTCAGTGATGAATGGGGCAATGAGTTTCCCATTGGTACTCCTTTCCTTTACTGGTGCAGGTCATAGCTGAAACGAACGTAGTAGTTATAGTGTATCATGCAAATGATGAGGTTCAGTATGGTTTCCACTGAGAATCTGGAACCTGTTTTAAGCTCTTCGTCTGCTGAAAGTCTCTGTATCACAATTTCGAAGGTCCAGGTGAGAGAATGCTCGTGAAAAAACTGGACATCATAGCTTATGGTCTGTACAGTTGCTGAAAGTCAGCGAATTTTCTTCGCGAAGTTGTCTGCGTTTTTAATGTGATTTCAGATTTCCGATCATCTGTGATGTTAGTGGAATCCGGTCTGAATCTTTTCTTTCGTAGGTGTTTATCACTGCGCATACCGTTTGGAGCAGTCAGATTTCCGCACTTCTGCGAATTTCTCATATTCTGCTCGATTTAGTACAGCTGTTGCATGTTTTTTGTCAGCTTTCGACATGACGTTTAAGTGATCATGTTTCTGCTTTTTGATAACCTGCAGTTCACTTATGATAAGATTGTTTTGCACCTCTGCATGTCGGTTTACTAGCTTCTACGAGAACTGGAAGATTCTTCCATATTTGCTGTTAGAATATACTTTTTCCGTTTCAGTGGCCATATTCATTATCAGGTACGTTGTGTCGCGTGACAGAAATTCAGGCTATTGTCGAGCAAGGCTTTCTCTTCAGCTGTGAGCGGTCTTCTACCTAAATTGATCACTTTTATCATTCCTTCTTTCTCAGTTATGTAGCAAACACCGACGAATAGTGAGCAAAAATTGGTAGCAACACGAAGCTATTCATGTTGCCGATGGATAAAAGGTTTGGTGACACAAGATACCACAAACATCGGCATCCATACGTTCATTTTCGTAGCCTGATATTCTTTCTTGTGGTGCAGGAGAGCAGCTTCAGAATTTAACCAATGATAGCGATTCTATGAAAATTAATCATGATTACCAAACCAGATTAAAAGTGCACTGTTACAGTTGAATGTGCCACAGGGACATACCTGGAGCATATCAGTAACCCTAAAGGGTGGCTGTATTACCGAAATCCGGTGATTCACACTTAACTTACTTTTGATATGCTGTATCGGCACGGATAGCTCTAACAGGCAGTAATTTCTTCAATGGTGTGCTTCCAAGTGTTGCTCGTACATGACAACCAGCCAAGCAGGTAACCACATAGACTCTGGAGCTCGAAAAAGTTTTAAAGTCTAAATTATACAGTATTTGCCAGGTTCGACTAAGAATGTGGAGAAGGACGTGATGTACGTTACACTTATACAAGAATCAGTTAAGCATAACTGATTTCCTTGCCTGACGTAATGGTCCCGATCATCAATCACTCTAATGGTCTGCAAGCTGTGTGTCACTCAGCATAATGTCGCGACAACAACTCAGAATCAAACCTGGGTTTATTGAAAGCCGTTCTACATCGTTTTTCATCATAACAGGTGTTTTAGTATTCCATTCTGAAGCAGCTTGATTGACTAAAAACACGTCAAACAAACATCAACGAAATTTACTTTACCGTAACCAAAGTTAAAAGTAGCAACGTACATTAATAAAAGGTATTTCAAAGCTTCACATCGATTTACGTTATTTTCAGTTTTACCAGGAACCTCCTACAAGATTAACTGTAGGAATTAACTATTTCGAAATGATGAATTCAGCAACAAAATTAAAATATCATCATGTAACCGTTGAATCATAAACAACAACAAAATTAACAGAACAATGAAACCGTTTCTTGCACCATTTAAAATTTTATAACTCGCTCTTTGATTTTGCTTTGCCAGAACGGTCCCAACCCTTCAGTTCTTCAGTAGCTTCTTCAGCAATGTACTTTATGAAGTCGTCAACCGTTCTTCCGCCCTTATACAGCTTCGGAGAATCTTTCTGTCCCTTTGGAGCCCAATAAATTGTCGGGAAACTGTAACAGATTAGCTTAAGCACAAGTTTCAATAACGTCTATAACTAACCCAGAGACAGAGTAGTTAGGTGGAACTTCGTTGGCGGTTGCATCCATCTTGGCAATGACGATGTTGTCTTCATCTTTCATCTAAATCAAACCTTGCAGT